TCTTCAACACAGATTAAACTATGCTGGCTTCTTCTCGTCCATCTGCAATCCACCTGTCCTGCCATAGTCACAGCGCAGTCATTGGACCTGTAATCCTGAGGGTCTTCAAGTATCGCTACCGCCCACACCTCAGGATCTACAAGAGAGGCTTTAGCCCCTGCTAGCTGCCTGTGCCATCGTGCGAACACTGTGGGAGAGACATGAGGGAGAATCCAGGTACCTCTTTTTAGTTATATATAGCCTCACGTGGAAAGGATTAAGCTCCTCGCAGAGGCTTATGCTAGTGTTAGTCCTGAAGCTATGCCCATGCAGAGTGCGCAATGGGGGATGATGATGGAAGGGCCTTCTGTTAAGGTCTACGTCCGGTCTGTGAGCTAAGGATTATGACTGATGTGCGGCAGGTACAGGGATATGGGGAAAGATGAAGCGGCTGGGTGTGGAGAAGTGCTGGAAAGGGGCTGGAAGATGCGATAGCTGAGAATCCGTACTGGTTGGCTCGTCATAGCCCTGTCCGCCGAACACCTTACCGGAATAATGTATACCTGCTGCGGTATAAGATAGAATGAGGTGGGAGCGTCACTCGATCAAAGCAACACACAACGCGTACCAACGTCAGGTCCTCGTGCGCTCTCTCACCTGCGCATCCATATATTGAGCTGCGCATCACTTATTAAAGGTTCAGTGTGTATCCACTTAAAGTCAGAAAGGGATCTACTGGCCAAGGTTTCGATAAGGAAAGGCACTTACCTTTGGACATAATGACAGGAGCGGTTAACGCATGGTCTCTGGTTATAGCTCGTTTTACCATATTCACTATAATGTTGATGCCTTTAAACACAGTAGTGTTTTTTACTTGGAATACATAGGGAGAGCCTCCAGAGGGAGATGGCGGCCTCTTCTGCATGAGACGACACTGATGCCAGGCATGTTGCAACCCACCTTGTTCTCTAGCAAGACAGCCCAACGAGAGCGGTAAACCAATCATCGACTTTGAACGGAGGTCCTATATGTCATGATGTAGCGCACGTCAATTTTCAACGGCCACCAACCTTACACCACATTGACACCTCTCCACACCGCCCAAGTGCCTGATATTGAGCGGGGGCTCCACTCCAAACAAGGTACAGCATTCGATGCTGAGCATCTGAAATTTAATGCACATTCTCATACAACCTCAAACCAACGAACAGTTGGCCATATTAGAGGCTCTACACACTAAGTTAACCACACCATGCTCTGACTCAGCATCTGTGGTTCGCCTGTAATTACGGCCCATGTTGCTGCAACAAAAATAAAAAGACACAACCATTAGAAATAAGCATCCTCGCCTGATAAATCTTAAATTTCTTGCCCATCCTAATGTTTTCCAGGTCCTCCATAAATGCAAAATCAATGCTCATAAATAACGTCTGGAGTGTGAGTTTAGTAGAAGTTTAGAGCCCGCTCACATCCTATGCTGCTCACCAGGTAGCCACCTTCCGAGACCCACACCAGCTATTGATTCTTCGTGGATGTTCTTTGCCTTTTTAGCCTCTATAGCATTGAAATTGTCTCCCAATATCTCAACTCAGGTCACACAGTGCAGATTCTACAAAAGAAGAGAAGTACATGAAGGTGAGTTCCCATCAATATGTGAGTTGTACAGGTGGTTATGATCTACATACAATGAAAACCTACACACTTAAAAAGAAGATCTGGATCCGTCTTTAATGAAAAAACCTAAGGGCTCGCATCTCTCATACTCGAGCTGATGCACCAGCCCTGCAGTGCTCCACGTTTTTGTCAGAACCTCGCCCTTGCCTTTCGGTGCTTTCCTGAAGAATCGCTCTGGTGGAAACGACAGACTATCCGTGTCTGACGCGTTGTACTGATTCTCGCCTGCCCGCAGGGCTGGAGCCGACTTTGAAGATCTCCCCTTTCCGAATCCCAACCCACCGGCCCTCGCCTGCCACTCATCAGCTGGATGAATGCGCTCGACTGCGCCGAACCAGCGCGCCCACCGGAACCAAATCACCCTCGAGGAAATCATCGCGTACAGGATGATAAAGAAGCAGCTTACCACTGCATACCAGTACAGGGCCGGCTACCTACAAAGCGTAAAATTCAAACAAAAAACTTGTGAATGTTTTTTAAGTCCAGAATGCAGAATTTGGTTTACGTGCCACGAATACGATTTACGACCATTACGGAGAATCGTGACATTTCATCATAGGAGACCAAGAAATTTAGGCGACGGACAGGTCTGTACAAGTTACTTGAAAGCCGTTCCCAGGGCAGGTGAATCTTATAGTGGGAGGATTTTTCTTTTTTTTTTCTTCAAAAGATTAAACTATTTGTTTTTTCCATCTGAATCACTGTCTGCCATAACTAAGCAGTCATTGCTGTATCCCCCCTGCAGGGTTTCAAGTATCTCTACCTCACACCTCAGGATTACAAGAAGGTTTCAGCCCTGAACTCTGTGCATTGCGAACATGTGGAGGATGAGGGAGAATCCAGGTACATCTTTTTATTATATATTAGTACGTGAGGAAATTAATCTGCAAGGTTATGTAGTGTTAGTCTGAAGTATGCCCATGAGATCACAATGGGGGTGATGATGGAAGGGCTTTTTAAGGGTCACGTCCGGCTGTGAGTAAATATATGTGTTGTCATGCAGGTACAAGATCACTGATATCATAGGAAAAGATGAAGGGCTGGGTGTGGAGAATCTGAAAGGGTCTGGAATGATAGCTGGAGAATCCTCTCTGGCGTATGAGGAGATCATCACCATGAACCTGGTAAGAATGAAGTGGGCACACAAAAAAACACACGCGTACACGTAGCCTCCTCCCTAGCCTTGAGCTGCTCACTCATGTGATCTTTCAAGAACAAAGGCTTGCTTGATACAAAGAGTTAATGCATCTGGTTACTTTACACGTATTTGATGCCTTAACATGATTGTCCGGGCCAATAGGTCACATGCAGAGCCATAGGGATCGGGGCCTATCTGGTGAGGCTAGGACAGAGAACCATTCAAGTGGACAACTCTCACATTATCCTTACTGGAGCTGGGGCACTCAACAAGGTAAGATGATCTGATCTGAATTTAATGCATATTTTACTACACCAAGACAGTTTTTTTGCTCTTAAATTTAAAACACAATGCTGTTGTGTGATTGTGTGCACTGTGCTCCAAAAAAAAAAAAAAATCATTAAATCTGTAATTTCTAAATTCACATAATTGATGCATTTGCATTTTAATGAGAAATTTGCTATAAATATTCATTCACTCTTACTGTACAGTGTGGTTTTTTTTTTTGGTTTTTTTTTACAATAAATGAATAAACTGCAGATTATGAAATATATAATGACAGGGTCGAGTGGTGTGTGTGTTTATGCATCAAAGAAAAGAAATGAGAAGAGTGTACTAAAATTGTGGTGCTGTTCCAACTCAGCGCTCAGGCTTCCTTCCACCCCCTTCTGTTCTACTAGGATTCCCTTTCCGATCCCAGCCACCGGCCTGCCTGCCACTCATAGTGGAATAATTGAATGCGAACCATGAAGTTGTATTTGCATAGAAATAGAGTGACATGCCAGAGGCTGCAGTGTAGGACACCCATATCATTTGTTTTTAATCAAAATGAAAAGTTTTGCTGAGGCAGATTGTTTTCTGCAAGCAGTTGATTGGTGTGTTGATGCACGTGTGTGTGTGTGTGTCTCTCTCCATGCTTCACTACCTCCTCTTGTCTTGCTTTCCATTCTCTGTCCTTGTCAGTGCATTAAGATGACTCTATTTCAAATTAGATGATAGATCGCAACATGACAAATCATGCAAATGGCCCAATGATGGCATACCTTTTTGCTTGGAGCTCAATTGTTTTTAGATGAGCCTCACTGTTTAGCTCTGTCTGTGGGTGTAGACTCATAGTAATGTTTACTGACAATGTGCAGGTGATGTATTGCAGTATGTTCTTTGTTTACAATGGGTTGTGTTTATTTTAGAATAGTACTGATTTCACCAGCGACACAGGCAAGAAATAGGGTCGTTTTTTTTTTTCTGCTCGTTTATCATATGGTTTCCTGGCTATTAACTGAAACTTAATGGAGAGCAGGAGGCTGCCACCCAGAGATCATCATTTCATTAGCTGCTGGAAAGCTCTCATATTTTCATGGGGAGTGGATAGTAACTACTAGCATAAATACCCCAGTGAGCTGTTACATCCAGTCTGCCCCTCATTTTCTTCCTCCCAGCCATCTCCCTGTGTCCCTCCTCCTATATCTCCTCCTCTTCTCTCTGCTGTGGAATCTTAATGAATCTGGCAGTGGCCGGAGGCACAGGGGTTTTGTGTATGTCAAGGTGACTGCAATGTTTCTTGGGGCCGCAGGCTTTCCTGACAGCTTTAGGAGAGTGCCCTAGATTTGTAGCCAGATACATAACCATTAATGGTAATAAAGAAAGTAAATGATGGCTGAAAAGGTGAGAGCTGAGGGTAGGCATTGAGCTCCTCTCTGATTTTTATGGAACCATGTCAGGGCCCTGCCACCTGTTCTAGGCTGCTTATGAAAATAGGGTGGGCTGGGAGTGAGATTTTATAGCTTCAGGTTGGCATAGGGACAGTTTTAAAGGTGGCTTCCATCTCACCCTTATACAACAGCCCCTTTTACAACTGGTGGAACCGGAGGATTCACACACAGGACAACAAAAAGGGATGCAAGCCAGTTAAATGAATGAAAGTGTTTTGGATGAAATTCACACTATCTGTTAGAACATTCCCTCAGGAAGAGTGGCAGGTGCTGCCACCCACCTGTGACTGCTGGAGTAGAGACATTTCTGGCTGCTGATCATCTGTATTGATGAGGCAGTGAGACCATGTAATACAGGGTCCTGCTGTTACCCAGCTTGTCTGTGTCTCTGTGCGATCTCATTGAACCACACTCCCGGTGAAGCCAGACGCCAGAAACCAGAAGCCTGGTGACAGGACCTCCTGTTGTCGGCCAAGGTTGCACAACATGAACAGTGGATTAACGCTGTTGCCTCCATTAAGAGGCCAGGGTAAATCCACGCTAAATTTAACTGGGCAGAAAACTGCTGTTCCAATTTTTAAGCAGGCTCCAAGAGCAGTGCTTCTGCAGTTTTCAGTTGTAAGTGACTTTCTGTGTTGTACCCTCAAAATAAACTCATGTTTACTTCCACAGTACATGCCTAAAAAAACAGAATCAAATGCATGCTGGGATTCAACAAAGAAATGTATTATTTTTAATCATCCTTTTTCCCCCCATCTAAAATCCACACCTTCGTCTTTTTCCTACTACAGGTGCTGGGCAGAGAAGTGTACACATCGAACAACCAGCTGGGTGGAATCCAAATCATGCACAACAATGGTGTGACCCACTGCACTGTTTGTGATGACTTTGAGGGAGTCTTCCTGCTTCTGCAGTGGCTTTCCTACATGCCCATGGTAATGTTTAGCTGTTGTGATAAATTAACTTATCCAGATGTTTGGAACTATGTGTTTTTGACCTTGTAAAATAAAAACATTTCTTTTATTTTTTGTTTTAGTGTAAATCTAGTCCAGTGCCCATCCTCAGTGCCAAGGATCCAGTAGATCGGCCTGTGGAGTTTGTGCCTACAAAGGCACCCTATGACCCTCGTTGGATGTTAGCAGGACGTCCCAGCCAGAGTGAGTATCTAGTCTGGGTGTCCAGAGAAATCTTGTAACCGAAACTCCAATTTTTGACGACATTTATGTGATTGTATCATGTGTTTATAACCATTTTATGTCTTACAGACATGCTCTGCTCCAAAAATAGCATCCTGGTTTTATCTACAATGATGATTAATACACTTTTACTTTTACTCATTTCCTCCACTAATTATTTTCATTGAAAATGCTTTATCAGCATCTGTAAAGAGTCACACCCACACTTTATTTTTGTGTGCGTTATGTCAAGTATACAAAGATTTATCATTTCAGCCTGATATCCCCTGTGTTAAAGGTTGAAAAAATTAATAGTAAAGAGACAATATTAAGAATTTAAGAGAGAAATGGGGACAGCTAATGCTGCTGAAGGCAAGATCAAGATGGTACCAAAATGGATCCAGTGTGTTTTACACTGCAGGTCTGGACTGAGCAGGTTCCACATCAGTGTAATTACAGCTTGGGACAGCAAAGGGATTGGGGGACCGTGTTGGAAGCCAGTCAACGTCTCTGGTAGTGATGAGTGGCGAGGCTTAATTGAATGGTAACCTCATAGGCTGGGCATGTTTCTCTGGGTGTGCAGGCAGAAAAAGAGCTGAGTAAGCCTTCTTATACAGTCATCCATCATGGTTGCTGCCAAGATTATAAATACATAACCTCGGGCTGCATGATGAATAAAGCCAGGATTTTTTATAAAACACAATGGAAAGAGAATATTTTTGGGAAACTAACACACTTGCATTCCCAGTTTGTAATAATTAACTCCACTTTTCACTGTTTCACTCTCTCTGATTTTCTTTTCTGCACTTTGTCGCTTTTCTTATCACTTCTATCTGTATATACAGCTCCAAAAGGTTCCTGGCAGAATGGCTTCTTTGACCATGGCTCCTTCATGGAGATCATGCAGCCTTGGGCTCAGAGTGTGGTGGTCGGCAGGGCCAGGTAACTGCCCCAACAAAACCCTAAACCCAGATGGCACAATGCCAATAAGGGATTTATTTGCACTGTAAATGTAGTCGAGGTATTTTGTAGATGTCAGCACTGAATGGCCTCTTCTTCACAGACTTGGGGGGATACCTACTGGGGTGGTTGCTGTGGAAACCAGGTCAGTGGAGCTGTCAATCCCAGCCGATCCAGCCAATTTGGACTCGGAGGCGAAGGTAACGGCTCGCGCCATACGTATACTAGCATCTCAGTACTTGGACATTTAAAAGACACTCATGTACTAATGCTGATTTTCTTATTTGTATGTTTAGATCATCCAGCAGGCAGGACAGGTGTGGTTCCCAGATTCTGCATTTAAAACAGCCCAGGCCATTAAGGACCTGAACAGAGAGGGCCTACCTCTCATAGTGTTTGCCAACTGGAGGGGCTTTTCTGGAGGAATGAAAGGTACTTATGCTCTCATGGTAATCAGTCAGTCTGTGTTTAAAGTCATTCAGTCCCTCATATGAAATTCTTCTTCTTAGATATGTACGACCAGGTGTTGAAATTTGGGGCCTACATCGTGGACGGGCTTAGGGAGTACAAGCAACCGGTACTGGTTTATATCCCACCCCAGGCTGAGCTAAGGGGAGGATCCTGGGTGGTTATAGATCCCACCATCAACCCTCGTCACATGGAGATGTACGCTGACAAGGACAGTCGGTAGGTTGGATGAAAAAAAGAGCAGATTAAGTATAGTCTTTATCAAAAAAACAACATTTGTTTATTTTAATTATTCTCATCTCCAGAGGTGGAGTGTTGGAACCTGAGGGAACAGTGGAGATCAAGTTTAGGAAGAAGGACCTGGTTAAGACCATGAGACGAGTAGATCCGGTCTACATGGGCTTGGCTGAAAGACTGGGTGAGTCCTCCGCTTCGATTCTAATTATAGATCTTTACGGGTGTCTTCGCCCCCCTCTGCCTTGTCCTCATTTTAGTAAGGCGCAATATATCAGGTGGGAGCATGTGTGCTTTCACTTTTGTTCTTTGATGTTGATTGTATCATCTTCACTGCTGTCCCTCGGGAGACGTGTCAATCACAGCCTACTCAGATCAATCACAGGCTCTCCTGTCTCTCCTGTGTATCGATTTTCCTCCAGGCTCAGAGCAATTGTGGTCTGATACTGTGTGGGCTCGGCGCTTTGGGCGAACTGGTGGAATTGAGGGGTTACTGGGGAGGGTTTGAGAGCTTACAGATTGGAATTGACAGAAATCAGTCTTCGTTGACAGCGACCAGGGGTTTGGGGGAGCTCTGAAACAAAATGCTGTTAACGGGAGTTAATTCGCAGCTGCATGCTCATCTAGAACCTGATTTCATGGTAACTGAACTATACGTAAAGGCCAACTGTAAGACTACTATGTTAAGATATGATTTTTGGCTTTTACACCTAAACTAAAATGACCTGACAGCTGTGTTGTATGCGTTGTTTTGAAACTCCAACAGGAACCCCAGAGCTGAGTCCCCCTGACCGTAAAGAGCTGGAGACCAAGCTGAAGGAGCGTGAGGAGTTTCTCCTGCCCATCTACCACCAGGTGGCTGTGCAGTTTGCAGACCTCCACGACACCCCAGGTCGCATGCAAGAGAAGGGCGTAATAACGGTGAGCACTTTTTATTTTTTAAATGCTGTCTTGTGTGCATGTATTGCTGCAGTGTGAGTGTGCAGTATGTGAATAACCTGAAAAGCCCCCAGGGGAGTATCAGTCTAGCTGCTGCTGCACCTGCCTTGTGAATAATGTTTGGTCTCACAAGGCTGTGAGACTCGTCCTCATAATTATCTTCTGATGACCCTGGTCAATCACCTCAGAAACCGTGGAGCAGCCTCAGGCAGGCCCCAGCTCATTCTGTGCCTTCCCAGTCCCATCTTTCACATACAAGTATACACACTTTGCTCACATGACCAGAAGGG